TGGCAACCTCTATAATGCGCGATCGTCATTCTCAATTTCTAAGCCATATCGTCGATCGTCGTTTCCCCGTAACACTAGTAACAGTAAAAGTTTTAAAAAGTACGATTAGATCTATACAATATAACGTATTTATTCTATAGAAGCATAAATAATCACAAATATATTTAGAATCAGTCAACACCGTATAAATCTATTAATGTCACTTAAAACAATTCATTGTTTTTAAGAGTCAAAATTCAAAAAGTTTTATCGCATTTAATAGAAAACAATCGTGCTACTGCATACGCTTATCTTTTTTTACCAGCCAATAATCTATAAGATTTATCGGTAATGGCGCAATATAAAAAGTATATATCGCGCATTTTTAGCCAATTTGTTGAATTATTGGAGAAAAAAACGTAATAATTTGCGCAAGACCTTGGTGAAATACAACGGAGTACGGCGGAATTTGCTATCTGTTTTGCTGAACTTAACATAAACGTGTTTTTAAACTAAATAGTAAACCAATCAAATTTAAGGTGCACAAAACTAGGAAATATGAGTTGTTAAGAACGCCTACACTTTATACTGTATACAGTATATACAGTATAGTCACAGAATCACAAAATCTAACCGTTACAGTAACATGATCTGAATAATTGGCGATGGCACAAATATACAAATACTGTATGCAATATACTGAATATTTATAGTAATATCAAAGGCGGAGATTTATAGGATTATGCCCGTCTGGCAGTTACGGTACATAAAATAACAAGATCGTTGTTTATACCAGTTGTTACCTTAAGATAAAAAACCGAACTTAATAAAAAAAAACGTCGATAACTTACTTAATACCGTGCCGACAAAAAGGATAAAACGTAAAAATATATTCTATTATTTACGAAATCTAATTATATAGCAAAATACAATTGAGAATGGCTGAACGTATACTACAGTACTATTCTCTTAAAAGATTTCCTAATGCAATATGCATAATCTTATACAGTATCTATAAAAATTCGACGTTAATATTGGCGATTTTTTGTGAAAAAAAAAATTCTAGAGAAATCATATTTTCAAAAAAAAAAAACCTGAAGAGAAAAAAAAAATTTTTTTAAACGAAAAGAAAGAAAACAAAATGGTCCATTTAAGAATTAAGTAAATTAAATATGAAAATTTTTTTAAAAAAAAGAAAGTATTTAAAGGATTGTATTTACATATACTGTGTGTGCGCAAAAGGGAGCTTTCTATAGATGATAAACGTCTTTGATACATTGCCTTATATAGCTGAACACAGATAATAATATAATGCTATACATAAATATTTCAGTATTTATTCGACCATCTCGTTGTATGTTTTTAAATAAAAATGGAGACAAGCAACAACCAGTTCAAGTGCAAATGTTAATAGACAAGGTTGGAAATGAACTCTTTCGCCACATTAATTCTCCCTTGAACTTTACTTTTGGGTGTAAGTTATTTTATCTTCTATCGCTTGACTCACACTCGCGTGCAAAATGGGTTACGTATAAATATGGACGATCGCAAACGTTATTTCACGCAGTAAGACTTGGACCGAACTTATAAATGTTTAAGTCGTAAAGTTAATATTGGAAAGTGGCGGGATACTACATCTAGAGGTTATTGATGCACTTTGGTCGATACGACAAAAAACTTATCGAATTAAAGATTGCACATAATATCGGCATCACATTTTAAATTTTAATGAGCAGATTAAATCTCCCAGGGCGAGTAATCTACCGATATCGGTGTTCACTTATTTAATCACAGAGGCATCAAATCAGCTAAATATTAAGGAGTTAGCTCCTAAGGGAAATGATATGGAACTTTTTCACTTCTTATCCGCCGGTCCTCACGTAATAAGCAAAGCTCCAGTTATTTTGAGTAAAAATAAAGGCCTAATTGAAGAGTTGATTCGTGAAATGAAGTTTATTCCTTTTCCACCACGGCCAAAACCCCAAAGAAGCGACTCTCATCATTTATCGACCAACGTACCAGAAGAATATCCTCCTAAAGATGGCTACGAAAATAGTCGGCAATTAAATGTGATTGCCCGAGCTATCTTAATCTGTAAAGATTTGGTGGTCTTATGGAAAGAGATTGGCTATTACCAAATATGCAGCGATGTAAATGACTTGGTCATGCAAGGAGCCCTCCTAATTCTTTT